TGCTTGAAAACCGAAACTAAATTTTTTAATTTGCCAAAACTATTGCCGAAATTTAGTAGTTTAGGCAAACTTCTATAGATCATACAATTATTTATATATGGAATAAGGACGTCATTATCAAGCAAATGAAGGACTTGGAAGAGGGGATGTCAAACAACACCAAAGGATTATCTAATGAAAATTTACAAGGAATGAATGTCCAGGCTGTCCATCAGAAAATTTGCTTATCATGGAGGAGCAAGCAAACCGTGAAACTAGAAGAATTTCTCAAGAAAGCTATTTTGAGTATGTAATAATAATAAAATGATAATAACAATTATAATTTATAACAACAATAGTATTCCTTTTTACTTGTGTGGAGCATGAAAAACATAATACAGTCACGTCTATGAATGAATGTTGGTAAGTTCTATATTATTATACATCATATTATACAATACATCAATCAATCGATTTTCTTTTTTTAATTGCAATTTTACGCGCTCAAACGACAAGGCTGCACGCACTATTTATGATTTCAGCGATTAAAAGAATAGTAAAGTTTAGTGTTCTTATTTCACATGGCATAAAAATCGAATTGATTATTTTGAAGATCTAGTCTTTAATCTGTTATATTATTGTTAATGATCTGTTGATAGTTAGAAAGCAACGGTAAAATCAATTTAAAGGAGCATTATTTAATAGCACTTATTATCAATATTCATAATTAAGTTGATAAATATCCAAAATATTGAGCACAACAACAGATAATCGTATACAATAATAATGATGATAAATATGTCAAGTTATAGGTAGGTAGACAGACATATTCAGTGTTGTCAGCGGATACAGACACGAATTGTCCCGTCCCGGACATTCCTGGAGAAAATATAAATTTTGCTTGTAAATAATACGAGGGTGGCTTTTTAGTCAGCCTTGATTATTTAACTTGTTTTACGAAATTATCTTGCTTGTTGTCTCTTTCTTATACCTAGAAAGATTTGGCAGATCTGTAAACATACTTTATGGATTAATAACAAATTGCAATAAATAAAGATGGCTCTTCTACCAAGCAACAAATGCTCCTATATAGTTTATTTACTTTACTTTTACTTTTCTTGGGCCAATTGAAGTCATCGATACGTTTGCAACAATTACTTTAAAAACAATAATCAATATGTGATAATGATTTTGTATAGGTGGTCAATAACTGTTGACACTTAATACTTTTGCCAATAGTCTTAACAATTACAATAAGAACGTTTATGCTTGAAAATTAAATGTTTGTTTTCTCTACTAAAGCAAATACCCAAAACAAAACCTTTGCTTATACCAAAGCAAATAACCAAAACTTCAGAGTTCTTATACCACTCTGATAACCAAACGGACAATCAAACCCTACTGTTTAATTTCCGAACACAAAAGTGTTTAAAAAAGAATTACAGTGGATCTCAGTATAACGGATGTTTGTTCTAGAAATTTATCCGCTATACTGAGTTATCCGTTATACTGATCTCGAATTTTTGATTAAATCATGTGATACACGTTACGTTAAAATTATTTTTATTTTTTATTTTGAATAATATGAATGCAAATAATAATTAATAAAAATACAGTTGGTAAAAATTTTAAAAAAAAACAATCATTCACCTAAAACGTTGACATTATAATAATCTTCCATTATTGTTTGCACTCTTCTGTAATAGTAATAACGTTGTATAATAATAACGAACAATTATTTCATGTTGCTGAATGTAGAATGTTGAGTTCTGTGCGCTGAAATGACCCGAGAGGAATTTCCCTACGAAAAATAACAAAAAAAAAGTTTGGACAGCTGTCCTATTTATATGTTTCGAATTTAATAAAATAGACTATTGTCTTGGCCCGAGTGATGTCATTTTTTTGCTCTTTGCGACGAAGAAGACGCAAAACCCAACTTAATTGAATTTTTATTCTCGTGTAGCACGGTATGTGTGTTTTGTGACACGAAAAGCAAAAGCTCACATTGCGTTCTCAGTTATAAGCTTGTTATAATTGTAATTCTCATTTAAAGTAAAAAAAACTTATACCGATTTTTACATATTATACAAATATATGTAATAATTTCTTGTTATCATTATATTCTTTTGAAAAAAATTCCCAAATCCAAGAAGTTTCGCGTGAAGTGTTTGATAAATCAGATTCATTTTCTTATAGAGTATTAATTGTACTTGTAGTAGCTGTACTTGTAATAGTTATAGTTGTAGGAGTAGTAATTAAATTTTCATTATCTTCTTGACTAAAAATCAAATTAATCTCACTTTCTTCTCTATTCATATGCGCTGATTTTGTCTGAACCCCAAAATTTAGTACGGTATGATGACGTGGGACAGTTAATTGACTCAATTGTAAAGTTTAAATAAATAGTATATTTACTAATAAACAACATCATTCATTGATTATTTTATCTTTATTGAATTATTGTGTAAAACGCAATCAAGTACATATATATATAATATTCTAGAGGAAGGAGTTTATCCAACATTACCAATCTTACAGCTAACTGCAA